AACCCAAGCCATGACCTGAGTTTTTAGTTTTGCTCTATTGCATCCATCATAATCTTCATTTCATGGCTCGCCAGGCCAAAGGCCTCAGTAAACAGTAATTCAAACAGTCCCTGTCAGATCATATTACCATGCCCCTCTACGACCACGTAGCCCAGCTCTAAGAGAAGTTTGAGACACACGGATCTACTAAATAATAGAATCATTTATATACAACTTAAAGGTTCTGTATAGGGGATTTAAAGCATTAATATTGCAGCAAGCAACAATTCGCTATGTGAAGATATAGCCATTGTAATCCAAAATCTCTAATATCTGTGCTTTGTTGACGTAGTTGGACTGGCCGTGCGTGCCCTTCAGTGCCTGTTAGTGCATGTGATCCCCACTAGCTAGCTCATGGCCGTCGCTCTGCAATGCTCTCATACGGTGGTTACAGCTGATAACGTTGTCCCGACTGTGGGAGCATAGCGCCCACCCTCCGGTCCCAGCCCCGGCAAACACTGTTAGCTCTGTCAGCATTGTTGCCGTTGTTTGCACTGTTAGTGCTGTTAGCACCGTTAGCTGCTAGCTGCCAGTTCAGCCATCACCATGTTGAAAGCCGTTGGGAGCAACAGATATGCTCTGAACTTTGAATTGCCGATATCTTGAGTGAAAGTTGTGTTGAAAAAAGAAAAGAGAAGGCACAGCACAGAGGTGAGTGGGGAGAGGGGATCTGAAAGGGACTGACTGCTACTCTGACCTTTATGCGTGGGGAACAACAGGCCCAGGTGTGGTCCATGCCGCTGTTAAAACTGCCACAGAAAAGGCAGAGCAAGTCATATGATCATTTGTTCGAAGCATAGTCAGGCCTTAATGCACTGCATTGGCTGCACTTTTTATTTGAGAGCAGACAGCAGCCCAAACCTTTTAGCCACCGTGGTACCCCGAGCCATTTAAAATAAAAGAATTATATCATCAGTAGGGACAGGGATCTACTGGGACTGAAATTCAGCCCTGGACTTTAAAATAGAGAGGTCTTCATGGTCAGGACTGAGCCAATCAGATTTCAACAAAAACGAGGATCAGTCCAAATTGGTTTGGGCCGCTCATATCGCCCCTCAATATTGAAAGTGTTAGTTTGGCCAAGTCTCCTCTGAGGGCCAGGCTGGCCTGACATAAGATATTGAAAAATAAAAAACTCTACCACCACCGGCCAGTTCAGCCTGCAATGGATCGGCGGTTTGGGAGTCTTCCAGAACTTCTCGATGACCAGTCCACACCTAAGAAGGGACCAGGACTACGGCAGTCAGGAAGCGGTATGGGCGAACACAATGGTGGTTTTGGTCTTTTCATTGGATTTAACAATGTATCTGCGACTCAAAAACTTGTATTCAAATACAACAGCAGGACTGCAGGTTATGAAATAGAAATGTGAGTTGCTTGGTACGAAAGTGGCCATCGTTATTTATCTTAAAATTGTCGTTGAGATGGATCATCAGTGGAGCACTGGTACCTCGAGCCTCTAGCAGCCACTTTCATGCTCAGTGCAGACAAATGGTCCAGTGCCATAAATATCCTATCATGAAGAGTAGCATTGCCATGGTAATGCTGGCAGTACTGATGGAGGTGACGGTGGCTTTGCTTCAAGGGTGAATGAGCTGACTTTTCTTTTCTGTAGATGTGAGTGAGGCAGTCAGAGCACCTTCAGTAACAGCGTGAATGTATCTGTATTTGCAGACACAGACACACAAACAGTGAGATATGTGTCATGTCCATCTGTCCATGTACAGGCTGCAGCTTTATTGCCCTCAGCCCAGATTTCATTTTCAAATGCTTTATTGATAGTGGAACTTAATTTCACGGCCTATTAGGCTGCCGCTAAATGAATGCCATGTGTCGGAGGGAGACTCATTAAAATGTAGGCCACAGACAGACTGAAAAGTAATAATGAATTCACTTCATTAAATGAGCTCTTGCCTCGGGTCTGGAGAGGTACAGTTGGAGCTGAAGTATGAGTGCTGCTCAGGCAACGTCCATGTTGCAATCCGGTCTTTTCAAATGCAACTGCATGGTGAAACTACAGACTATATACAGTAGCACAGGGTCTTGGTGTCAAGAAAGTTGATATTTTCCTTGCTGTTGAAAGGTACTTTGCCCACTTTGGACATTGTAGAAAAAAAATGAAATACAGGCCTGTGTCAGCAGCAAGCAGAAGCTTATTTTTGACCTTGACCAGAGCAGTTTCAGTGCTGTGAATGGAGCGAAAGCCTGACAAAATGTCTCAAAGATTTCATTGTTATCCATAAAAGACAAAATCAATTGAGTGAAAACAGTCTTTCATTTTATTAATTGCACAGGTTTTGTGCTCTTTTCTAATCCAATCTACAAAGGCTTTATAAAATTGGAAATAAGGGTTCCGAAAAGGTTCTTCCTGAAAGGCTGAGGTTCTAACCAGAACCTCTGAAAACCCGGTTTTGGGAGAAAGAGTTCCTCAAGGATCGTTGAAAGCATAGGTCTTAAAAGATCATCGCAGCCCACACACCCCCAGAAACTGTGATTTTTGTGAACCAGGATTGTTGTGGGTTGCGGTGCAGCACATCATTCGGCCTCCTCTCCGGCCCTTGGGGATCCTCATGAGGAAGCCTGGGTGTATTCTAGATGAAACCCTTGGAATATAAAATGGTTCTTGTTGGAACCCACCAGGTGGGTTCTTGTTGGCACCCATAGAAGGTCTGGATAGAACCTCTAGAGAGGATTCCAGGCAGAACCATCAAACCATAAAAGGGTTCTCTGTAGAACCTCTCATAGAAGGTTCTGGGTGGAACCTTTCACAGATAATTCTAGGTAAAACCCTCTGAAAGGTTTCCAGGTGGAACGTGTATAATCCCAAATAGTGTTATGGGGACAAGCCAAAGAACCCTATATATGGTGCTAACTAGAACCAGTACTCAGTATACTGAGGTGATTTTTAAGTGTTAGCCTGTTGTGTACGCTAGAAATCCCCAACTATAGAAAAGGATTTGGTGGGACCTGGCATGAAATTTTTTCCTCTAGTGGCTGGGAAGAATTTATTTTCTTTAATTTACTATTGAGCACTATAGCAAAATCAAGGACTGTCCCCTTTAAAGTGGGCAATGTTGCTGAATGGGCCTATAGAACAGCAGCCCTGAGAGCTGAACAAGTTACAACCTGAGAAAACATGTTCATACATTTTGAACACATTTTGAAAAAACACTGCAAATATAGAAAACCACCGAATACAGAAAGGTGCTGCAGGTAGCACACAGCACAATGGAAACTGTTTCCAGGTGACACTCAAAAGTCACATGACTGTGAGAAGCTTAGTGTTGCAAATGAACTAACCTGTAGTTATGTTTTTTTCTGGCTAATTTTAACATTGTCATAGCATGATTCAGATGTCATTGCAGATATCTGCTGTTGACCCAGCATAAACCTTTTGCCAATTCAAATAATCTGCCGAAATACAAACAGTTAATTTTGAAAGAGGCTAATGTTATCTTACTAGTGTAGTTACTTTCAGAATTGTCACCAAGTAATGTTCAAGGACAGAAATGAATTGAAACTCAAATTCAAAAGTCGCTAAATGATCCAATCCCTTCAAGCCTCCCTCCAAAGACAATCCTCCAAAACGATCAATATGAATATAAACAACCAACATGGCTGTTGTTAGGACTCCCAGCTGTCAAGCTAGCAGCTCGTAGAAGATTCTGGTGACGAGCAATGAGTGCACGGGCAGAATACACACAGGTAGACAGGTAGGTAGATAGACGGGCAGGTAGGCCGTCAAATCATTTTAATTTGCATGAAATCATCTGACGGGCTTATTACAGCCTCCCTTTTTTGTCAGAGCAATATATTTATTGATTGCTCTTGGGATGTAAAAACAATTGCAACAAATACAACAAAAAAATCCTAAACACATAATAACCCACCCTGGCTTTAACCATGCATGCAGACTTTCAATATGACTTTGCATTAAAACAATAATTAGTTAATTTGTCCATTTGTCTGTCTTGACATCAGGCTGTAGTTGTTTTTTTCGTTGAAGTAAAAATTGAATACATTTTGTCCTAATTCTTGTTTTCAAAGATTTCCTTTTCTTTAGTTTTAGTCTTGTCTTGGTTGTAAAAAATAGTCCACACATATCATTAACTGTTTGTACTTATACCTACGGAAAGTAATCGTAATCCCGAGCAAAGACGTGTACGGCTGCCTCTGCTCTACTGCTGCACTTATAGCACCGGCTTCACACTTAATTGTGTGTATTTTGTCATATTATGTTTTGTCATACTGTGTTATCACACAGTTATGTTTTGTTCATAATTAGCCTGCCAGTCCAAACTGGCAGGCTAATTATGAACAAAACATCACGAGTCATAAATAATGCTGGGTGAACAGCAGGTATTTGCAATAATGTCTGAATCATAACAATGACCATGTTAAAATAAACCAAATAAAATGTAAGGTGACATTTAAGCTCATTTTACAAAACTACTAATGGATAACCGACTTCAATAACCTCATAAGACAAAACCATGGCAACAACAGGCCATGTCTCTGCCGTGTGCATCAGTTTTTCGTGTTCCCTGGAAACAGCTCCTTGCACGCCTTTCTGTATTCTGTTGTGTTTTTTGCAGCACGTGTTTTCAAAGTGGTGAAGATGTCTTTCTTAATTTGAGCTCTCAGGGCCAGCGCGTTATAGCCACATCACAACCTGAAATCTATGTCCAGCCTGACTGTTATATACTGTTACACTGATATATGGCGACATTTGCTCACTAATAGTGCGCCTCAGCACTGCAGCCATCAGTGTTTCATATATCGATATAAGTAGAAGGCTGTTTAAGAGGTAGATACATTTGACAAACTGAGAGAATGCCTGATTATTTTTAAAGAAAATAAATTAAGACTGAATTCCAGTGTGTTGTGCCTTTCTCCTTCTTCGTTCACTGTAACATGCGATGTTGATGCTGAAGCATGATATTTTCCTCCATGTCCTCCAGGTATCTTCACACCATCTACCTGGGCGTTCGGAGTCATCAGAGTGCTGAGACAGAGCGCTGGCGTTACTACTGGAGGATGGTCTATGAGTTTGCAGATGTGAGCATGCTGCATCTCCTGGCCACCTTTCTGGAGAGCGCTCCGCAACTGGTGCTGCAGCTGTGCATCATTATACAGACACACAAGCTCCAGGCTGTGCAAGGTAACACACTCACTTACTCACAAGCACAAGCACTCTCACAAACCCTAATGTGTTAGGGTTAGAGGGTTATGCTATATACTTAGAGGAGTTTAATATTATTTAACATGTGCCTGTGCACCACGGGCTACACCCTCGGGATGTTGACTGCATCTCTTTCGACCTAACATAAACGTAATTCTACCGTGAACCTTAAAACCAAGTCTTAACCCTCAAACAGTCCTTTGAAGTAGCGAGAACTGGCCAAAAGAAAAGCCTCCTCTGACCACTGTATCCATCCAGGGGGAGGATGTCAAGGTGATTCACTCCTAAATAACCTCAGAATGCACCCGGACAACGGGCTAGAGTGGGCTGGGAACACGGGGGCCCTCGTCAAGAAGGGTCAGAGCGAGCTCTATTACCTGTGGAGGCTTCAGAGTCTGCAACAAGATGCTGAAGAGACACTAACAAGCAATGCTGTTAGCCATAATACCTTTTTACTCATCAGTAGACTGAGAGGCTGCTGAGGTTAGCTGGACTCCCTAACTATACGGTATGATTACATTTTCTGTAAAAATGTAAGCACTGGGACGGTAGTGGTCCAGTATGGATTGTGGACTGTAGCTGGAGAGGTGCCAGAGGTGCCAACCTTCTAGCCACTACAATTTGGCCTTGAGCACGGCACCAAACCCCCAACTGCTCTGAACTCTCTCCATACAATAATACAATAATGCATGTGTATAACAACAGAGTGATAAAATAGAATTTCCCCTTTGGAGATTAATAAAGTGTGCATACTTCTGACACAATTTTATACTGGTAACTACATCCATTTTGCAATTTGCCCACATGCATGCACATGCTTAAAATGTCACTTTTTTAACATTTGTGCGAATGATGTTTGACATGTCTTTTGCACTATTCTTTGCACAAGGTATTTTGCTCGTGTACTGCTGCTGGAACATGCAAATTTCCCCCAAGGGATAAATCATTTATCTATCTAGCTTTTCACTGCATCTCAAATGTCCCCACAAAGCAAAAATATCCTCATTGAATTAAGAGCAAATCTATGATTTAGGAAATGTCTCCACACAGCTCTCAACATGACAATAGCTGAGCCAGTGGCTAGCAGCAACATAACTCCACTATACAGTTACACAGCAAATAGTGGTTTCCTACCATATTAATGTACAGAATGTTGAATAATGAACCGTTAAGCTCAGACCAAATAACTCCCGCACAAACCCACTTACTTGCTTTCCTCAGTAAATCCAGGTATCATTTCCAAATAGTCTGTTCGAACAGAACTGCTCTTTCTGTGATGTTCCTGCTCACCTAGCATTAGCCTGAGCATTAGCTAGCTAGCTGTGCGCTCCACTGCAGAGCAGTGAATCGGTCAAAAGCTGGATTCCCTCACTTGTTTCACGAATATACACCATTATGTCTGAGTACTACTACGCTACCTGTCAGTAATGCCATCTGACTTCAGAAGCTAGGCAACAATGTAACTGCAGATGCATGCAGACTTTCAATATGACTTTGCATTAAAACAAGAATTAGTTAATTTGTCCATTTGTCCGTCTTGACATTAGGCTGTAGTTTATTAGGCTGTGGTTTATTTATTATTCAGTAAAAATCGAATACATTTTGTCATAATTCTTGTTTTCAAAGGTCTCCTTTTCTTTAGTTTTAGTCTTGTCTTGGTTGTGACAAATAGTCCACACATATCATTTAGTGTTCATACTTACGAAAAGTAATCGTAATCCAAAGCCAAGACGTGTAGTGCTGCCTCTAACGAAGTCAGGTGTCGTGGTATAAAGAGTGACAAAGTCCACGTAGGGAGGAGGTCATGGTGGATGATGGGTCAAACAAACAGGACTTTCACTCAGGAGACAGCTATTCATGTTCTTGTGAAACTGAAAGTCAGTGTTAACTAATTTTACCTTATTTTTGTTATGTAACTTATGTACTTAACTAATGCCACATATCTACGTTATGTAAGCAACAATCTAGTTTTACGTAAAAAATGTATTTCACCCAAACTTCCTAAACCTAAACAAGTAGGTTCAAGGGCTTGCACAGGAACACTCATCGCTTGTGCAAAAACACACGAAAATTAACTTATCATAATACAAAACATTGTTTGAGGATATGTTGCATTGCTTAGCCCCTGTGTGAAAGAATTGTGACGCCTCTCACCCCAAGCAGCGACTGTTTGCCCTCCTCTCCTCTGGAAAGTTTTAGGACTCACCGTTTCAGGACCAGCATGCATAGAAACAGTTTCTTTTCCTCAGCTGTCACTTGCTGAACTTTGCACCCTTTCTGTTTATTCCACATTCTATTTATTGTATATTGTATCCTGTATATTATTTTGCACATTACTCAACTTTTTGCACTTCAGCTAAACTGCATTTTCTTGTCTCAGACCCTGTACTCTGTGCAATGACATGAAATATAATCTGAAAAAATAAACAACCTATATTCTAAGCTAACACTTTCCCCTGCTTGCAACATTTGTGCTAAGCTAGGGTAAACACATACTGGGTCTGTGTAATAGATGCACAGAGAGGAAATCCATACTCATCTGCTTATCTGACTGTGGGTCTGATGACAATTCAGCATATTTTCCAAAATGTGTGAGTTTTTGTCTGTACTGTTCCCGTGATGTGACACTGGAATCAAACCCGTTGTGTCTCTGTGTGCCTGACTGTTGCAGGTATGACAGCTGCAGCCTCCCTTGTCTCTCTGGCCTGGGCCCTGGCCTCCTACCAGAAGGCCTTGAGACAGTCTCGGGATGACAAGAAGCCCATCAGCTACCTGGCTGTCATCATCCAGTTCTGTTGGCACTTCTTCACTATCGCTGCGAGGGTCATCACCTTCGCCCTGTTTGCCTCTGTGTTCCAACTCTACTTTGGCATCTTCATTGTCCTGCACTGGTGCATCATGACCTTCTGGATTGTCCACTGCGAGACAGACTTCTGCATCAGCAAATGGGAGGAGATTGTGTTTGACATGGTGGTGGGCATAATCTACATCTTCACCTGGTTCAACGTCAAGGAGGGACGGACAAGGTGACACGCTCAACTCCATTTAATGTGACGTAGACCTGAAGAAATAAATCTGTTCTTTTTAAATGAGTTATTTCATTTAATTGTAATTCTGAGGTGCTTGAACAAACAGGATGTAGTACAGACAGGTTGAAGCTCCATTACTGGATTTTCTTCTGGCTGCTTAGGGGCAGTCGAACAAGCTGTAACAATAGCATTGACATCTAAGTTGTTATGGTAAAGGTGTTGGCAAGCCTGTTTACACGTCTAACAGACACAGGGCTACATTAGTATGTATTTGAAGGTGTGCCAATGGGCTATGAGAGAATGAAAATCTCCATAGAGATGATAATGTAATATAAACTGGAAAATCAGTTGAAGTTTGTGATTTCGTCATAACTGTACCACCAGACAATGTGAAAGTGCCTTAAACCTGCATTCTTTCTACTGGCCATCAGGAAACAACTGCTCTGGGTGAAAATAGAAGTCAGACTGAATAGAAGTCTATGAGAAAATGACCCTACTTGACCCCACTTGAGTTTATGGTCTCAATCTCTAGTTTCAAGTCTTCTTCAATACAGCATGATGGTAAATGATGGTACATTTAGAGTCAGACAGACCATAAAGCAGGGAATGCTTCAGGGCGGGGCTAACTGTGATTGACAGGTAACTACCACGGTGTTGTCCGCTCTGGGAGTTGTCCGTGTTTTTGTCTTAGAACTTTAACCCTTACACAGTGGGTTTTGAGTTTATGAAAGTCAATTTTGTTTACATTTTGGTGGCCCTAAAATGTCTTGTTGAGCTTTGGTTTGTTTATAGCTTCACCCTCTCGTGTCACTTCTGGTTGCAAAAGATGGCGGCTAAAATGCGGTATTCTAGGCTTCAATACTGTTTCGCTGCATAATATTTGTGCTGTCTGTAAAAGTACTCATGACAAAAACAGCAGTTCAAAACAGTAATTTAACAGTATATTTTAAACATTAAGTGGAAGTGGTTGGCTTGATGGAGGCTCTAATGGAACAATCATTGGAAATCATACTCTAAATACTATGAATTTGGAAAACAGTTGTAGAGGTATCTGTGTTGGAAGAATGGTGTGACATATTAGTATAGCCATCCTCAAGCCCATTGTCCAAATAGAACATAAGCATTTCCAAACTAAACATATCGTGCTAATACTTGAGAGCTGCTTCATGCTTTGTTCACTGATTTGGTTCTTATTCATTTCTTTTCATCATGTCTTTGTGCAGGTGTCGGCTTTTCATCTATTACCTGGTGATTCTGGTGGAGAACGCTGCTCTCAGTGCGTTGTGGTATCTTTACCGGTCGCCTCACACCACGGACGCCTTTGCAGTGCCGGCACTCTGCGTCATCTTCAGCAGTTTCCTCACCGGTGTGGTTTTCATGCTCATGTACTATGCCTTTTTCCATCCCAACGGGCCACGCTTTGGGCGCTCGCCAAGTGGCCAGGGTCTTGACCTAGATCCCACTGCTCAGTTCTCCACGCTACCATCTGAAGGTGCCACCAACTCACTACGTTCCAACCGAGGTACCACCGCAACCCTGGAGCGTGACGTGGGAAAGTATTCTGAGCGGGACGGCTGCATGCCAGTTTTTCAGGTCCGACCTACAGTGCCATCTACGCCATCATCTCGTGCTCCGCGCCTCGATGAGACCGTCATCAAGATCGACCTTTGTAGGAACCGCTACCCAGCCTGGGAGCGCCATGTCCTCGACCGCAGTATACGCAAGGCAATCCTGGCCATAGACTGCTCGCTGACCCCTCCACGGCTGCAGTACAAAGATGACGCTCTAGTGCAGGAGAGGCTGGAATATGAGACCACATTATAGTTCCACCCTGCTCTCAGAACTCATAGAGGGGTGCAGTCGTCAGAGGATTATCCTGCTATAACATAATCAGCAACAGGGACTGTGGCAATAAATAAATTGTTACTAGCAGCAATTCAACTTTTCATCTCTCATTACTCTCTTTCTGTTTCTATTCCTCGGCATCAGTGCCCACCCAGGAAAATTCAGCCCTGTTGGTAGTGATCGGAGGAACAATTTGGCACAAGTGCAGTTGATGTCACTAGATGTGTTTGGGTTCTTTGCAGGTTTGTTGCTGTTATTTTTACTTCCACTCATCAGGGAAATCCCGTCTGGAATGAACTAAATGCAAACGCTTCGACACTCTGCTCAGACGGTACAAGACGCTTATGCGTTAAGGTTGGAAAAGGATATATTTCCATCCAGACACATTTTAATTCATCGGATATTCCACCTTAACCTAAATGACACTTGAATTACACAGAAGTTCTTCTAATGTGATGAAAGGAACCCTCATTCAGCATCAGTGAAAACTTTAAACTGTCGGAAGTTCTGATGATGTGATCCTATAGTAGCCACAACTGGGTGGGTACTTCCATCACTATCTACATGAAAAAGCTCATAATTTCTGTTCTCTTAGTGCCAAAAAGGTTCTTTGGACATGTCTTCAACATTCGGAGGAGTTGGAACACCTCACGCTGGGTTCAGACTACACAATATCAGCCCGATTATAGCCTGACCCGTCAGACGTCGGGCGTCAGCTCGGATCGGGAACAAAAATGGGAGTCGGGCGCGACAATTGATCGTTTTATCTTGTGTCGTGTGTCTTGATGACCTCACAACATCCCAACAGAAAGATTAGCAGGTGTTCCCTCATGACTCTAACTTTGGCCAGTAAGAGCAAAGAGTGCCCTTTCACGCACAGCGGTAAACATGACGAAGTGAGAAGAATGATGATGTTGCTGCCAGTGGAACAGTGAAACAGAGGAAAGGTTTTTTTTCTGTTTTTAGACTTTTTCCGAACTCAAGACAGCCAGCATCATGCACACCGCCGTTGTTTGTTTACATTCTTCTACCTAGCAACTCCTTCCCGATGAAATCGCGTTTTGATTGGCCGGTGACCAATGTGTTGGCTGTCATGTCTCTCGGCCAAGTCCCGGAAAGAATTTATGACTTTATAACTGCCTAATCTGACACAGTGACTATCGTAACAGACAAAAATATTGTGTAGTCTGAACCCAGCATTAAGGATGGCTGGGAAGTCCAAAAAGTTCTCTCGACTAAATATTTCATTCTTCTATGGTCTATACTGGAAGAAGGTCAGACAGAAAGTGAACTACATGAAGACAGTGGTCAAAGTAGCATCTGAACTCAGTCATTGTGTTGTCTTTGGATAAATCAACCAAGCCTGGAAGTAAGGAAGGATAGGAAACAAGAAAAAAGTGGTGAAAGCTGGACAGACACAACCTCACTATCCCATAAGGAAGTAAGTCAAACTCACACAATGCCAAGAAAGAAATCTTCCTGGCAGCTCAACTCAACTATTTGCAGTCCAGCCTCATATACCTGGTTGTGCAGTGATGCTGATCTCTGCTTGTCTGTGGACGTGAATGTATGTATGTGTGTGTATGTGTAGGGGGGGCAAGACAGAATGACGCAGGAAATGGAAATGAGTCAAGGATGGAGAAGAACAGGCTAAGCAGCTATCTCAGCCAAACTAAACCAACCACCAGGATGTACAGTACTCTGATACAACATGCAGCACTTTTTTTACGTAAGAGATGATGTAGAAAGTTATGAAGTCATTGTGTGTGTTTTGTTGTGGTGTGAGTGTGTATGTGTTGGCAATAGGCGACATTTTGACTTCAAGTCTGCTTGATCTTTGATAAACACACGTCACCTTCTGGGGCACATGTTCCTGTTTTTCCCAAAAGCTTTTAACATTGTTAGACCAAGCCACACAACACAAGTCAGCATGTTGTTGGTAGTGTCCACGGGCTTTAATGAGAAATGCTAACTGAAGTGCCACTATAAAAGCTTGACAACTGTTATACCACATATCACGGTCTGGGTTGAGCAACTAATGAAATCCATTTTCAGTGAGGAACTTCTAATGTAGGAAAAACAAAAAATATTAATCGCAGGTGGGTGCAAAACACGATTTATTACAAAAGATATAGGTCAATTACACACAAGCCGTGTAAATTTGTGAATGAAGGCACAATGTTTCTTCCTGCTCATGGAATGGGAGGGGGGGTCTGTAACTGGTGGCCAAAAGATATAAAAATGACACGTCATGTTATTCATGTTGTTTGACACTTTTCATGTGTGATGACACTACATATTGGTAATCCTGTACCAAAATAGACCCAGACTAACTACTACCAACAAGTCAAAGGGAGAGAAACAAGGGGACAGTGCTAACTTTGGATAAAATGGTTGCACAGATATAAACTTTACAGAGGGAGGAAAGGAAGGGAGAGTACTTAAAACGATTTGGTGTCTTTTAGCTCAGCTGTGGCTCTGACTGACAACCTGTAGATCATAAAATGACAACCATCCTGTCATCCACTGAGTTCATATTTTGAACAATCATCCCATACTGTTCATAAAGTTTATGTTCAGGTTCCATCAGATCAGCAGCGTGGTATGGATGTCCTGGATCAGGGAAGGACAGGAGCAGATGATGATGGTACAAGACTAAAGTTGTAAAGTTCCTGTCAGTGGCAACATTAAGATCTCTGGTGAAAACATCACATTTTTAAAATTTCATTAAAATCCAGACATTTGTTTTCAAAATACTTTGATGAATCAAAATGTTAGTCAAATCACATTCTTCACTGAATGGTGTCTTGAAATCAAGGGTCAGAAGGTTGCTAAAGTCATCTTCTAGGGACCATGACTATCCATGCCATGAGTTCTGTTCAAAGTGTTGTTCAGACAGAACATTGTCTATAAGCCAGGCCCCACTGATGATGAAAGCCAGTAGTCAAATTGTCACGGTGTCCTTTTCAACATGCTGTGTGTATGAAAACAAACCCTCGGACGTCCCCAGTGATTTGAATCAGAGTGCAAAGAGACAACTAGAGACTGCAAACAATGGAGAGCTGCACCATTTACACACTCCCAACCCAACCAGCGGGACTTCAGGGAATGCTGGGAAGATGGTAGAAGATGGAAGATGGTAACAGTGTGTCTTTGCATTTTTAAATGTCTGCACAAAAGAAAGGTTTCCAGATTTCTTAATATCCGTCACAAGTGCAATGTCTTTTTTTCTAAGGATGGCAAGAGGAGAGAAAAGCACAAAACGAGTTAATGGGATAATCATGGCATGAGACTGTAAACCTTTTCATCCTGCTTAACCAAAGCAGCCCCAGGTGCACTGAGCTGTTCTCACCTCAGCTGGTCCTTCATTTTGTGTATGAAGTCTTAATTCTGTTGCAAGTAATTATAGATAATGTCCAAAACTTAAATAAACTTGATCATCTTATTCTTTTGGTTGAAAATATATCACTAAACAGAGGATTTGTGTGTAGTAAAGTATACAGAATATGTAGACCACGGAGAGAACCAGATGGATGTGTTTACATGATCCACTTTCCCAGCAAATATGGGAATGTTCCAGCTATTATTTGCGGTTTTCTTATTAGATACACCTTTAAAATGCTTATGTTAGTTTTTACGATAATTGTATTTTGTTGGTGGGGGAAAAGTCCAATAGAAGGATTTCAACATATTTTTATGCTTGTGAACAGACCATACCAGCAGTTTTGCATGTTTTAGCCATATCTTATTGATGTCACAGCCAATCATTTTGAAAACCAAGCTGCTTTTTCTAGTGTTCCAGAGCGTTATATGGTATAAATTCTTGCTTCACTTTTGTAATCAAGTGAACGTCATCTATAGTCATCATTGTCAAAGTTATTGTTGTAAGGTATTGGAGTGCAGACCTTTTAAATCGATCTACTTTTAATAACGGTTTCATATTGTGAATGGAAACCAATGGAGGCCTGTAACTGTGGGCAAAATACATTCAAACATCTATCAATTCAATATACAGCTTGCATCTGAAAATGGTTGTAAAAATATGAATAATGTGTAGTTAGAGCTAAAATTTTCAAAAACAGTGGTATGGTTCTTTAAGTTTGTGATGGTAATTTTACGTTAAATTATCATGTTTTCAAGTGTCTTATTCTTTCAGTATATTGAACCTTAAGTCACACTTAAGTCACACTGAAATACATACTGTATGGCTTATTAATTTGCCTTGTTGTTACACTACTGTGTGTGTGAGTTCTCATTAGTGTATTGTTTGACTGCACTGAGCAGTTTATAGATAACATTTTTGTTATCTATAACAAAAATGGTTGTTTCTCTTGTTTTGACATTTTTATTTTATTTTATTCCTTTTACTTAATTTTGAGCTTTGGGTTCATTTTTTAAATTTTACACGTCAAAGTCTACAAGACTTGGGGAGTCGCCTACAAGTGAAAATAAGTTATATAAAGCATTATGTGGCGCCAGGGGAAGCTATATGAAATTGGATAAATTGCCTCATGTCATGTCACTTCAGTCAGCGTTGGTTGGGGCCGAAGACTACAAGTTCAATATCTGGATGTGTGGAGTTAGAAAGAAGTGAGTTTACCAGAACTCCGTAGCCCATTGCTCATCTCTGCTGCAGGTTAGAAGCTGCAGGATACATTAGCCTCTACTAGCATTACTAGGGATTCATTTACACTTCGGCAACAACACGGGACGGCATTATCAGCGCTAATCGCTTGTGCAGTGCATCGAATGGGTATCGAATGAAGTACTCTATTGGTATCGGTATCACTTTTAGGGCACAGGTACTGGTACTGGCATCTGAATTTCCGAATGAACTGTCAGTGGTCGAGGTGCATTGTGGGTAAGGTAGACATGATGTTTTATTTAACTGTCCAAGTGGAAAAAGCACAGGTTTCACAATGACTTATCTTTAGTGGAATTACGACAGCAGAAAAGCTATCTGTATTAATTCACCAGCAGAGGTCCTCACGGGTGTACTGTATCTGCCAGCATTCTGGTTGTGAAAAAAACTACTTTCAAAAGTTCATGCAATAAATGTTCAGTTTGTTTGACAGACAGTTGCTAAACGGAAACAATACCTGGAAAGAATCTTCATGAGAAAGTATGATTGAAGGTTAAGAAGGCCATTCCTTCTTTGTAGCCTACTCTGTGTAAATGCAGCATTATATTATCTGGGGATGCCAAAGCATCTTAT